ATTTCTACACTATATGGGGTAAATTAATGCAAACCTTCTGTTAAGTTGCCTATTAGAAGCTACTGAATGGCTTCTACTGAAACCAGTTTTGAAACACAAATCAATTAGAATATATATTCTAACTTTTTTCTCTATGCTATCCACAGGGTCTGCGTTACACAACAACAGTGGAGAGGAAGAGTTTCTCAATTTAATGTATGATCCCTGCCTCAACTGTTACTTTGATCCACAATCTGGGAAATATTACGAACTGCTCTGATTCCGAGATGAGCTACATCTGCAACCATGTTTTTCAATACTGCCATTTATATGTATGGATTAGTTGAAGCATGCTGTCCTTCATAACATTTAATGGTTTTAATGGAAATTGGGGATTTAAAGTGTATTTTTTGTAACCGTTTCTAATATAATTTTCGTTTTTAGTAATGAAACTACATTCAAGCATGTTTGAGCTCATAACAGATGCTTTCAGTAAGCAAGAAATAAACTCATATTGTTGAAACCATTTGTTTTTTTATTAGTCCTAATTATTTTATTCAAACTTCCGAGACATTATGTAAAACGAACTAAAATTATAAAATATTTGCAATAATTGAATAAAACATGATGTAAACGAATCTCACTTTTTAAAAGTGATCCTACCTACAATGTTGACGGAAGTCTTCGCGTTGCCACACGATCGACCAATCACGCCCCCGTTACTCCTTCACGTCATTTGACAGGTAGCATAACTAGGAAGTAAACATCTATAATGGCGAGAAAGTCGTTCAAGTTAAGCCACTACTCAAATATCTTACTAATTTTGATTTTAAATAGTATTTTTTATGAGTTCGCCTTCGCCTTTCCGTCATATCGCGAATCCAGACAGTCAGAAAGTTTGGACAGATCCACCTCAACAACAAACAATCAACAGGTTCGTTATCTACTTTCTTGCGTCAGTCACTTCTCTGTCAGTTTGCATACTTGCTATCCATGATCTGTTGTTTCGCAGGTTCGAAGACTCCATTTAGGAGTTATCGCGTCTGTTGTGATCGTTATTGTGGCTGCAATAGCAGCTGCTGTCTTCATCATACGGAAATACTGCTGTCTGCAGAGGTATGTGCAACATGTTTTATTTGACAGTGCAACCTAACCTTACAATCCTGTCACCAGAGTTGTTGTACGAAAAAATACGTTGCAATAATTTATACAAAAGTTAATTAATATAAACCGATATTTGTTGCCAAATTTGTCCCTATTAATTGACAACTAAATTTAGACTATTTTATTCCAGTAATGTAACATATAGATACTCAGAGCTGCGACAAATGGAAGAGCAAAATGCAGCCGGTTCAGATGAGGTTAGTATGTGTGGCATTTTAAAAATTAGTAGGCTAATAATAGCCTTCAAAACTAAATGTTTAATTACTTTTTATTCTTACTCTGGGTTTTCTTTCCACAGGACCTTTTGGAGTGAATCGTGTAGCACAATTTATCCTTGACGTTTCTCTTCTTCTTTTTTTAATACTGTGACATTATATGGCCAAAAGCATCACATGGGTCATTTAAAAACCACCAGGAGTTCCTGAAATATTTATCTCTGTTCCACCATTTTTCAGCACAGATATGTCCACCAACCAGTTAAAATTAGCTGGTTAAATTTGGCAGGATTCAAAGGCTAAAATCTCCTTCATGAAAGCTGTGGGGAAGCGGTTCAGAAATATTAAGATGCCCATTAGAGATAATAGTTATTATGATTTATTTTCAGGCAAATAACTTATGAAACGAGCTGTTATGGTTGTCGGTTGTGGTGCCCATTGCTTAAAACTTGGTCAATACTTGGAACTACTTTTTAAAGAAGAACTTATTTAGTATTTTCTTGAATTTCTCAATGCAAGGTACGTTGTACCAAAGTCTGTTGAAATGATTGTTCCTCTATTTATTGTACCTGACTTTTTCTTTAAAAAAAAAACAGCTTTATGATCTCAGGGTTGTTCCCACTGGATACTGTGAACAGTGCCACCAATACCAGAAGCACATCTGAAATAGAATTTGACTGTAAACAAGTCTTATCCACTGTAATGATGCTGCTGCAGACTTTGCATTTCAGTGCCTTACTGAAATCTGTTACTGTATAATTTAACTCTTGTGGTATTTTGAACAATAATCTGCACTCGTATGCCGGTATTGGTATTTATAGTGGCAGTGTTAGGCTTCACTTCTATTTTAAGATGACAATGTTGATACAGAATTATCATGTGCAGTCCAGAGCTCCACAACAGTGTTTTATGAGCTCAGTCCATGATGGGAAGTATTTTTGATAGATGATTATTGAATTCTGTATCTTTAGATTTTCATATGTTTGCACCTTCTTTTCTGAGTCTGAACTACTGACTACTTAAAAAAAAAAAAAAAAAAAAAAAAAAAAAAAAAAAAGTTAATTTAACTGAGAAGGAATAAAATTATATACATGAATATTCCTTGTATGTTTGATGAATATGCTTAAATTTTTCTCACAGATAGCCACAAGAGGGCAGCACACAACTGTAAAATCATTTTGCATGGAATAAGAATAACAATATCTGTCTAGGTGACAAGTTGGGTTAGATGAGGTTAGACTTGTTTGAATGTAATGGTGCAAATTTACCACACCTTAAGGTAAAGCCTGCCAGATCAGGTTTCAGGCAGCACCATAGTCCAGAGAACTTTCAAACAGGTAAAAACTCAAAAGTAACAAGGGAAAAAAAACATATTGTGATTCTAGGCAGTTGTATTTTAAATCATTTTATTATATTGCATCAGGCATGTGAGAATCCCAGAAGATTATTTTGGGCTACCAAAAATGAGACTTAAAGGTAAAGAAAACACTTTTAGCATTTCTGATTAATTTGTGTAACTATTTGTGTGTATAATGAGCATGTATTGTGTTTTCCAGATTGTGTGTATGTTCTCACAACAGTGCTGATCATCTTGATATGGTATTTCTTTATCAACTGGTCAAAACTCCAAGAAGTTGCCAAACAGTCATGTAATGTACATGGTGATCACATATGACAGCTTGTTAATCCGTGACATTATTAAAATCTATTTTTATTACTGTTATGTTTTAGTTTGGCTAAGATTGGGGTTGTTTTATATTCCAGATGAAGTTAGTGATTTTGTGACCGACTGTGACAATCCAGGTAAGCTTAATTTTTATGCTTATTTGTGTGAATTTGTGGAGGAGATGGAGTTTAAGAAAAGTTTATTAGGGTGCAGTACTGTATTTTTTTTCGGGCAACTTGTTTATTTCTTTGGGCAGGTCTGTTTAAGTCTCATTTTGGTTGCTGTCCACATAAACATTGCCCTGTCAACCACTTCCCCTTCCACCTTCACAGCGGTGTAGCCAATGTGGTGGCTGCAAAAATCTGCTTTAACAATACAATGTAAGAACTGTTACAGCTTATTCATGACAGACTAACACAGTGGGAATTAGTCTGTGCCCATATGACTTGGAACACAACATGAGAATGAGATATTCATCAGAACATTCATGCTTACAGTGAGATTGCTTGCACATTTGAATATTTTCAAAGAATAGCAACAAATCTCTTGTCTGTTCCTCACACAAACCTGTTGTATGGCTTGTAGCACAAGTCTTGGATTACTTCGATTACTTTTAGACTTTTTTTTTGTGTGCTTTTATTGAATCATATTTTCTAAATGCAGTTATTAAGTAATTGCTTGGAATCAGTATAAATCTGTTCATTGTGAAAACAATAAAATTATCAAACTATGCAAATGGTTTAAATATGGCTATAGCTATGGAACAAGCAAGATTCGTTTTTTTAAATGTATCAGATTAAAACAAATCAGATTTATTGATTTTATATATATATATATATATATATATATATATATATATACACACACACACTGTATAAACTCATTACTTATTTCATTTATGCATGACTGACAAATATTCACCATTTTTAAGTTGTATTGAGATAAATGATGACAGTTTTCATTCTTGAATTAAATATTTTATGAAATGGTACTTATAGATGCTAAATGAGCGCAAATGTTCTTCTCTACAGCATCATGGGCGGCATCAGGAATAATGCAGGACAAGGGCTAAACATTGTTTTAGCAAACGGTTTGTTTATTAAAAATAATTACAGGATTTCAATTTTTTTTTTCATTTAATTCAAAAACATCTGAAATCATTTTCATATTTACTTATGTTAAAAATATTTGACTATATATTTACGCAAGCATTAATATTTATTAATATATGCAAATAAAATTCTATTTGATTAATTGACTCTTCTTTTCTTAGGTGACACCGGTAAAGTTTTAAGAAATAAGAACTTTAATCTGGAATCTAGAGGTAGGTCTCTTAGTGAAATTGTGCGTGCAAGAAATTGAATCTAACAAGATGTGAAGTAAAACTATCCTGATGTACGGAACCACTTGTTTGTCCTTCAAGATCCCCAGGAATTACTTGCCTATCTAAAGACACTAAAGCCAGGAAATATAGTGCTTGTGGCCTCATACATTGACCCTACACCAAAGTAAAAATGTGACAGCCTTCACACACCATCAACATGATTAACTTGGCTTTAGAGTTGAATTATTCATTATGTCTCACTTCCACTGCCACCGTCTCTTTTCCAGGCTGACTGATGAGATTAGAGATATATTCAGTGCACTGGGCAGCACGATGGTCAAATCCCTGAAGCCCAGAGATAGCTGGGTATTTGCAGGCGCCTATGGAATAAAGGAAGCAAGTCCTTTTGAAAAGGTTGGAACATCTTTTTAAGTTTTTCATCAAATATTTATATTTTACTTTGGTTTAATTTCAGTGAGTGAAAATGAGTTTTCAGTTTTTTTTTTTTGTTTTTTTTTTAATTGGTTGTTTTCTCTGTTATGTTTAGCTAATTCGGAATGATGTGAGGAACAACGCATATGAAGACTGGCCAGAGATGGGGGAGGTCATTGGCTGCTTTCCCAGAATATCTGAGAATGAATAAGCCACATTAGCCAACCTCATATCACCACGTTTGAGACACTTGAAAATAGGACATTAACAACACAGTACCTTTTTTGCTCTCTTCCCTCCCTAAGCAAATAAAACTGAAGGAATAGTTTACTCTCGTATTGCTCCAAATCCATATGACTTCCTTCAATGGAACACATTAGGTGAAATTTTGCATATGTTTATGCTGCTCTTTTCCAGAGCAACATTCTGCCACTATGATAATATTATAAAACAAAAGTACATTTGAAAGGTAATACAGATGATTCTGTTCTCATACGGAATTCCTTCACATTGGTTCTTATATAAGGTAACATTGTTGCTGTTGATATTAACAATGAAAAGTGGAAAACGGGAAAGTGACATCAGTTTAACACAGTCCCTTTTTTCACTCCCCCTCCTTCTGCTGATTTGTAGTACCAGTTAGGACACTGTATGCACCCTAGGTTGTAAAAGTGTGCGTGTGTGTTTAGGTTTGCTTGGAGGGATGTACATCCCCTCCTGCTTCTCCGCTTTCTCTGCATTGAAAGTAGCAGGTGGAATCCCAGAGAAATTGTTTCTGGAACAATCCTGAGGCACTGAGCATTCTGCACCTTTGGAATCATGGGTGTGACCCATGGAAAGAAAGTAAGGCTATTTCAATCCAGTTTGAAGAACCTGTTTGTTGCTATGTTAGGAGTGTAAGTCATACATCTACTCTAAAGGTCTGACAGGACTTTTACACACATGGATGATTGTAAATGGACGTTGTTCAAACTTGTTGTAGGCTTAAAATGCTGAAATTTATGAGGTGAGACTGTTTCTTTTGTTTGATGCTATTTTCCTGTTTGTGTGACTTCAAATCAATGTTTGATCATGAAACAATTATTCTAAAATATAAGCTAAAATATACTTATGTGTATGTATATACTTAAAAGTGCACATTAAATGATGAGTTGAGTGTCTTTTAAGTTCATTTGGTTTCAGTTCTTAGGAATATTGTTATTTTAGTATTTATATACTATTATAGTTTTTATGAATTTGAATTAGCTTTTTTATATTTTCAGTTGAATTTTAGGCTCTTTTTGGTCATTTTGTTATGTGCCTTTGACATTATTATTATTATTATTATTATTATTTATTATATTTTAAATTAAGGTTTCATATATTTTTATAGTTTAGGTTTTATTTATTTGAAGTTAGTAATGTTAGTGTTTCAACATTTCTTTGCCAGTTTTTCATCTAATATATATTTGATGTATTTTAGAGTTTTTTAATTTCTATCATTTTTTACATTTTATAATTTTTGTATAATTTTAGTTTATTGCGGCTTTATTTCAGTTAACAAAAATATTTTAAATAGTTTTAGTTTTAGTTAAAAATAATAACCCTGCATTATAGAAACTAAATTTAATCTTCTCAACTCCAGATGTCTTAATCGGTAGCTTTCATGTCTTTTGAATTCTTTCAGTGTAAAAAAAAGTATGTATTTAGTTGCAATCTGTGAAATTAATCTCATTTGAATACTTTCTTTCTGATTTTCTTTCCCGTGGTGATTTAGTCCAAGGACTCCTCGTGACTTTCCTGACACAGTCACATTCTAGACAGCAAACAGATTATGAAGGGAAAATGGAGAGTTTGTTTGGCAGGGCCAGTAATGAGGTGGCTAAATGCCAGCTGGTCCCAAAATGAATTTAGTCCAATATGATCAACCCAGCATGGTGTTAATGCGCACACACACATACCCACAATGCCTCCCTTGTGTTAGTTTAAATCTCTCTAAACACACAGGGCTATTGTCCTCTTCATCAACAGTTTTGGAGATTATTTTCATTCGTTTGGATGGATGAGAGTGCAATGTCCTATTATAATTTTTTGGAAACAATAATAGTGATATGGTTTTTGTACACTACTATGATTACCATGGTAAATATGTTAATCATACAGTACCATGGTAATATGCTGTCACTATATAGCACATGACTGTGAAAAGCAGTGGAAAAAAGCAAAAGTAAAATAAAAATTGTTTTAAGATTATTATTTTTTTGTTGTATTTTGCCTTGTGGTTATATATAATGACTCATATCCATTTCCTTTCACAGGCAGATCATAATCATCAAAGTCATAATTCCGCTTGTGCTCAACCACTTACTGGACCTGGTGAATCAGGTTTTCTACGTTCCTTTCATATTATTTCATGCAGTTACATTGATTAATTGTGCTTTTCATTATTATTACTCATGCTTTCTTGAACAAAGGTGCATTTGTTGCTACAGTCATGTGAGGTGTCCTATTATTTTTCTATGCGAATTAACTTTTCTCCTGGTGGATGCTATTGTCTGTTTTTTTTTTTTTTTTTTTTGTTTGTTTTTTTTAAAGGGACGTTTACCAAAAATTTAAATTTGCTGGAAGATTCACCCTTAATGCCATCAAATAAGTTTTTCTTCATTGAAAGCGATTTGGAGCATTACATTACTTGCTCACCAATGGATCCTCTGCCGTGAATGGGTGCCGTCAGAATGAGAGTCCAAACAGCTGATTAAAACATCACAATAATCCACAAGTAATTCATACAGCTCCAATCAATTAACATCTTGTGAAGTGAAAAGCTGTGTGTTTGTAAGAAAAAGATTAATGATGAAGATATTAACTTCAAACATTTGATTTTAGCTAAAGTCCTTCTCAACTGAAACCAATATTGCTTTCTCCAGTGAAAAAGTCATCTTGTCTGAATCAGGAGAGGAATATGCACAGATCAAACACAATTTACAAGCAAAAACAGTTCTAAACTATAAAATGTCATAAAATATGTTGTCGGATTTTAAAGTCCAATGACTACAGGGAAAGGACTTTTTCACTGGAGGAAGCATCATGGATTATGGACTGGTATTTTGGCCAGAAGTGATGGTTTGAAGTGAAAACAAATCCATAATTACACTCTAAAAATGCTGGGTTGTTTCAACCCAACTTTGGGTCAAATATGGACTAACCCAACCGCTGGGTTAAATTTTTTAAATACAATTTTTAACCCAAAAGTTGGGTTAGTCCATATTTGACCCAAAGTTGGGTTGAAACAACCCAGCATTTTTAGAGTGTAATTATGGATTTGTTCCTTACAAACATGCCGCTTTTTTAAAGATTTTAATTGATGGACTGGAGTCGTGTGGATTTGTTTGTGAATTATTGCAATGTTTTTATCAGCTGTTTGGAATTTGCTGGGGAAAAAATCAGCAAATTTTCATTTTTTGGTGAATTATTCCTTTAATAGCTGCAGTGGCGCATGCATTGGGCCCCCAAAATGAATCCATGTGCCCACACCTTCTCCTCTCATTTACTGAGCTTTCAATCTGCACGAGTGTTGGTTTTTTTTTTTTTTTTTTTTTTGTTTGTTTTTTTTAAAGGGACGTTTACCAAAAATTTAAATTTGCTGGAAGATTCACCCTTAATGCCATCAAATAAGTTTTTCTTCATTGAAAGCGATTTGGAGCATTACATTACTTGCTCACCAATGGATCCTCTGCCGTGAATGGGTGCCGTCAGAATGAGAGTCCAAACAGCTGATTAAAACATCACAATAATCCACAAGTAATTCATACAGCTCCAATCAATTAACATCTTGTGAAGTGAAAAGCTGTGTGTTTGTAAGAAAAAGATTAATGATGAAGATATTAACTTCAAACATTTGATTTTAGCTAAAGTCCTTCTCAACTGAAACCAATATTGCTTTCTCCAGTGAAAAAGTCATCTTGTCTGAATCAGGAGAGGAATATGCACAGATCAAACACAATTTACAAGCAAAAACAGTTCTAAACTATAAAATGTCATAAAATATGTTGTCGGATTTTAAAGTCCAATGACTACAATGAAAGGACTTTTTCACTGGAGGAAGCATCATGGATTATGGACTGGTATTTTGGCCAGAAGTGATGGTTTGAAGTGAAAACAAATCCATAATTACACTCTAAAAATGCTGGGTTGTTTCAACCCAACTTTGGGTCAAATATGGACTAACCCAACTTTTGGGTTAAAAATTGTATTTAAAAAATTTAACCCAAAAGTTGGGTTAGTCCATATTTGACCCAAAGTTGGGTTGAAACAACCCAGCATTTTTAGAGTGTAATTATGGATTTGTTCCTTACAAACATGCCGCTTTTTTAAAGATTTTAATTGATGGACTGGAGTCGTGTGGATTTTTTTGTGAATTATTGCAATGTTTTTATCAGCTGTTTGGAATTTGCTGGGGAAAAAATCAGCAAATTTTCATTTTTTGGTGAATTATTCCTTTAATAGAATGCTCTCTTTTGTTCCTCTCACTTTCTTAGATTTAGTCTCTGATCTTGGATCAGTGATAGACCCTGAGCAGAGATGGGGCAGAGAAGAGGATTTAGACCAGAGCAAGCTGCTTCCTGAGCAAACGGACAGTGGTTACTATGAAGAGCTCATCAGGCCCAAAAAGCTCCACAATCCCGTCAAAGCATCCAAGAGCCACCGGGAACTCCAGAGAGAGCTGATTATTACACACAAAAGGTGGAAATTGAGTTTGAAAAGAATTGAGGCACGAACCAGCTTAGTTGCAGCCTTAATTTATCACCTGACCCAATTCCTAATCTCACTTCAAACAGTACCCACAGAGGGACTGCCGAGTTTAAATCTCTCTTGAATGTAAATGTTTTGTCCAACAGATGGCAGTAAACCCAAACTTGTGTGTGCAGTTTGTAACTAGTGCATTATTATAATCCAAAATTGTGCTTATTTATTTGATGGAACAATGAAGCGTTTAGTATTTTTAATATCTACCATTAGCAAAGATTAATAAACACTGTTACAAGTGTATTTCTCATTGTTAATGTTGGATTATGCATTAACTAATGGAATCTTGTGAAGTGTTATCATATTTTTAATCATTTAATGGTTTAAATATAATAGTTTATAATCATTATTCATCCATTTATACTGTATGTAATACAATAGAAGAATTAACATATGTTTAGGTTGTTCTAAAGGGTGATATTGACCTTAAGGGTCCATATCCTAGATTCCTTTTAATTGCAATGAATGAGCAATTTCTATTATATGCGATATAATAACACTTATCTCATCTTTCAGAGGAGCAGTGGTGGAGGAGAAGCCAGAGTTGCAGAGAGTTCTGCAACAGAGAAACAGAGCTCAAGCTCTGAAACAAGACATAAAACAGGACAAGGAGAAATCACCACTGGAGCAGGAGTTACTGAAGAGACAGATGAGGTTAGAGAAGGTAAAACCTGAAATACCATTCCTCAAACTATATCGAAATTAGTATTTATATACAATATCAGTGTTGAATGGACAATATTGTTTGATATACGCTAATAAGGCCTTTAAATGCTGGGAAGTGATCCAACTTACACAGAATGCTCTGTTATTTTGGTTATTTTTACATCTCAAGTCCAGATCACATTGATCTTGGGTTCCAAAAAATGTGCTGTCAATCGTAATGTAGGGGAGATCAGGGGAAATTGTAACATTTTTACATTTTCCTTCACAAATCACAGACTACGTGAAGTCAGAGTGTTACAATTGCCCCCTTGGTGGGGGTGATTGTAACAGTGTTTGGGGGCAACTGTACCACTGAAAAATAAGTCATATTAACCCACTGTTTCTCAAAGAAAAGCCTACCTCAAAGTAATCACTTTACTGCTGTGGTAGCCTATCTAATGCAAATTTAAATGTAGTTTTACATTTAAATATGTAAATTTTCTAACAGTTTAGTATGTCAACAGAGACAAACAAGGTGCTTACACTGAGCCATGTGGCTCAGGGATAATTGTAACACAATGTTACAATTGCCCCTGATGTTGCAGCCATGATAAAATCTTGTATGCTAGCTAGCCATGCCTATATTAGCCTAGGTTGTTCATGTTAATTTTTTATCAATAACCTATAGTGATAAAATGTAAGATTAAATTCGCAGTCATCTAAACTTTAAACAGCAGAAGAAAAATACTTTCATACCTCAAAATCAGTATTTTGTTAAACTTCTGCTGAGGTGAAATGATTGTGCTCCTTTTTCACAGGCAGAGAGAGAATCCTGCTGAGCATGTGCAGAATAAGTGTCATCACTCTAGCTGTTTTCTGATTGGAGTAATTGAGAGTTACAATTGCCCCCGGTCTCCCTTGCACACTAGGTACTATAACCTATACATCAACACCTCATTCAGAATTGATTTAGCCGTAATAATTCTTCTTCTCAGTTTGAGAGAGAGACCGAAGAGCAGAGAGAAAGGTCAAAGTGCGCACCCGAGTTCATCAGGGTGAAAGAGAGCCTGAAGAGGACAGCGATAACAAGTGCTGTGAAGAAAGAGGTGTAATCACGTATCACCTTACAACACTGATCTACAGGAGTGTTGATACTCCTCCAGCTGCTGATTTGAACAGTTCTTTAGTTTTTTTAGAAAGCTTGGGGTTTGGATTTTGAATGAAATCACAGATTGTGAAAAACCAATGTTGAGGACAGGAATGTTAAAAATGTGGGCTAATGTTATGTCACATGTTAAGCACTTGTAATGGTCTAATAAGATTTCACCTTAATTGCACCAGTGAGAGAAGCACACAAGAACAGAATAACTCCAATGTACTGGAACTGAATCTAGTGTTTGAGTATAGAAATGATTGATCTCCCATATTTGTAGATTATATACTTTTATGATCAGACGGCAATCTTTTCCACTTTTATCTTATGTTATATGTAAATCATTTGGTATGTTCAAATATGCAAACTAGTTTCGGATATAGTGCGCTAGTGCATTTAACAAAATGTGCAGTACAAAAAGAACATCGGGAACACTGTATCCGATAATGCAGTTTCAGATTTGATTTTCCATTTAGTTTGACAAATGAACTGGCACTGTAAATTACAAATTGTAGCATCTCTACAATCTCTACATTTCTTGACTTATTTGAGTCGACAGGCAATCTTAATTATTTAAAATAACATATATAATGCATAGTTTCCCTACATAATTTTTTTTAACAACATACATTATCACACAATATAATAAAATGATCCTTTACAGATATGATATTGTTGATTTATACTGTCTGTGTAAGTGGCTTTTTACTTAAAGGAATAGTTTGTTTCTTAAACAGATTTGGTGAAATTTAGCATTACATTAATTGCTCACCAGTGGGTCCTCTGCAGTGAATGGGTGCCGTCAAAATGAGTCCAAACAGCTGATAGAAACATCACAATAATCCACAAGACTACAGTCCATCAATTAACATGTTGTGAAGTGAAAAGCTGCATATTCTAATAAACAAATCCACCACTGAGGTGTTTTAACTTTAAACAGACTTAAGCCATGTGGATTTCTTGTGGATTATTGTTACTGTTTGGACTCTCATTCTGACGGCACCCATTTACTGCAGAGGATCCATTGATGAGCAAGTGCTGCAATGCTAAATTTCTCCAAATCTGCTCCGACGAAGAAACAAACTCGCCTACATCTTGGATGGCTTGATGGTGAGTACATTTTCAGACAATTTTAATTTGAGTTTACTGTTCCTTTTAAAAGCTTTTCTACTCATGCAATGTTAAAGGTCCCCTGAAATGGCAGCGTTACTCTGTGTTGACGTCATTTTAACTGAAACAGGAAGACAGGGCGGGACATATCAAGCAGCCCCGCCCCTTTTTACAATAGCCAATAGCGTTCGTTTATATCACAGCTTGGGCTAGAGCCGTTCAGACTAGCGGAATACGCCAAAAAATTCCAAAGAAGCTGTTCAGAGCCATTGAGCTCCGTAAAGCCGCATTTGACAGGGTATGCCAGCCATAATCTCATCCATATTGCTATAAAATATAGCATTCTGTGTAGAATTCAAATAGCTCCGATACATTTTGTGGTCTGCGCCGACTCGCGCATGTGATCCGCTACGTGCTGTCGTGTCTATGGACCGGAGCAGAGTGTGTGTGCGGTGCGGTGGTTAGCGTGACACACAATAGCGTTCGTTTATATCACAGCTTGGGCTAGAGCTGTTCAGACTAGCGGAATACACCAAAAAATTCCAAAGAAGCCGTTCAGAGCCATTGAGCTGCGTAAAGCCGCATTTGACAGGGTATGCCAGCCATAATCTCATCCATATTGCTATAAAATATAGCATTCTGTGTAGAATTCAAATAGCTCCGATACATTTTGTGGTCTGCGCCGACTCGCGCATGTGATCCGCTACGTGCTGTCGTGTCTATAAGACTAACATATTGATACTAACACCCAAAAAACTTTAATTTTGATTTCATGGGGCCTTTAACATAAATCAGATGATTCTGATCTCACATGTTTCAGCTAACAACACAACTTAGTTTTTTGTAAATATGTTTTATACATTTTGTAGTCTTTAAATAAAGGGATTTTGACATGTTTGACAGTTTAGAGTATATAAATTGAAAGTACCAACCACAGTCTGCCTTACCATAGCACTCTGATGTGAACTTTATTTGCACTGTACACAAAGATTTTACTGAACACACAATGCATAGACAAGGAGTGTTTATTCATAACATGCTACTACCTGTATATTTTAAGGGTACAAATCATTGGCTCTTCATAACTCCATTGATAACACATGATGCATTGCATCCATACATTTGTAGCTTTTACAAAAAAGATATACAATATATGTACAGTATACATCATGTTTATGTATAATACACATACTGTATTTGTGTCTCCTCTTCCCGAAGTGTGCGCATTTCCATGTGAAAAAAAATGTCATAATCGATCAAGGGAGGAATTAACTACCCAAACACAGGGGTGTTACTTCCTATAGTACTTTTCAAAGCCAAAGTAATTCATAGATGACTCCTAAAGATATTTAATCAGACCTTCTGAGGCAGTTTGCATAATTACCATAATGAACTGCTCATTAGACTGTTGCATTTTTATACTAATTACATCGTTGATTGCACTTGGGTTTGACTCAGTTCTAAAATTAAATATTTTAATTATATATGTACTTCATATTTTAGAATTTGCTTGAATTTAATAAATATTAAATTAAAATTAAAAAAATAATTTTACATTAAAAATAAAAATGTTGTTATATTGACAACACTTCTGACAAACTAAACATTTACTTTATGCAAATAAATGATAAATACAGCTATATCAGACAGATGGAGTGTCAACTCAAGACTAATCGTTCATATGTTTAAAAGGAAAATGTCTTTAATATTAGGGGTCCATTAGCAAAACAAAATATATATATTATTGTTGGCTTCAAGTAAGCAATGTGCTCAAATTGGCATGGATATGATATACTGGTGAACAAGGAGATAAATGTTCTTGCATTGTTCTTTTTGCAGTAATCCAGTTTTAAAGTAATGCCAGTATTGAGTTCTTAAGATAATGTTAAATCAGCATTTCTGTTTTAAAACATAACATGTATATTTTATAAAGAAATAGAAAAAGAAACAAAAGATTAAGTGTCAAAATTTCTTGTGCCTCCGATCTCACAATGACTTGTGACAGCAATAGTCTGTCTTATTTTGCAATTAGTATTGTAGTAAAGATAGGAATTTGATCATCGCTCTTGTAAACATTTTTACGAGGTCATGCAAACATTAAGACGTCTGCTGCACAGAAGAACAGTACAGATTATGGCCAGTGACCCAAACAGAACCTTAACTAATCAACCAATCAGCTCACACAACATGCACAACATGGAATAACTGATAATCATGGAAAAATGAATCTTTTTGGTTGCAAAACTTAATCCGCATTTGTTCCAAAACCCTTCCAAGGCAGAATCCTAATCTTGGAATCTCATAAGTGAGTGATTTCAAACACTCTACAACAAATAATGCCTCTCATGTGAAGCGCATATGACACTCGACTCACAATTGATTACAACAGAATTTGATGCCGGCATACTCGAAAAAGCATAAATCTACATACACAAATATTGGGTTAAATAGTATTTTTACTGATACTTTTTAATATTTAGTTAAATATATTTATTAAACTTGTTGCACTGCATAATGAGATTGCTTTGGAAGCAAAGGATACACTCTGCCATATACAGTATTTTTGGCCAAAATGAGGTGTCTTAAAAGATGGCATAATGTTGCGGCATAACGGGAGTGTGCATCTAATGCCTTCTCACTACACTTAGGCCCAAATTTAAGATTTATATAATTGAATTGCTCATAATATTTCCATCCATTTGGATTACACAGTTTTAGTATAAACAAAGTAGTAAACTTAATGTGATGCATATTTTCACACATAAATGAAACGTAAGATTTTGCACTCAAATTACATATTTTATTAACTATTTGCATCTATGGGATTTTATTTAAATATAATCACGTAATCAAAATGCATTAACTTAAATAGCTTAGAAACAGCATAAAGCTGGTAATTTGGAAAACAATGAAATGTATTCAGTTAAAAATAAAGGTATGAACAGTTAAAATATGGCTAGTTGTGGAACAGGCAATTTTCATTTAAATGCATGAGATTGAAACAAATTGGATTTATTGAGGATAAATATATAAACTGGCTATTGTGTATTTAAAACACATTTATTAGTAATATTGCAAAAATCTTCCCCGTTTCATTTATTCATGACGGTATGACTGACAAATATGCATTACGTTAATTTATTAGTTTGTTAATGTTAAAACTCTAATTCAAATGGCTGGATATTTTATATACAAATATATTCAAGTATATATATATATCTTATTATAAAGCTATAGACTACTTTTGCCCCATAAATTCTAAAACTAGAAATCTTTATTGAAAACGGAGATTATCTATGTTTGATTTTGCATTTAATCTGGGTGCAAAAAAAAAAAGAAAAGCATTGGATTGTGGCTCAAATCTCTTCACAATTAACCCGTTCTGTCCACATGCTTCATATGAACAACAAGATCATGTGATCTCCGTAACAGCTTGGAAATATTCCTGCTCTGACTTCAGTAAGCTCACTTCGGCAGTTTTATACCAGTCTGAACCAGATCACAAAATCAACAACATGGACAATTCTACCCAACATACCTTACAAAACAAAACCACAATGGATTAAGGCGTGAAAATGTCTTAAAGATATAACTATCTTGTTTCCTCATAAATTTATTGCCTGAGCAAGTGGGGCTTAAGACATTAATATTTATTAAGACATTAACTAATGGCTTTTCAAGAAAGTCCAAATTGCTACGGGGTACAGACCTGAACATTTTCTTTAAAAAAATAATAATTAAATAAACCTTACATAAAAGCACAAATTAAACATGTTGTCTTTGGTTGGGGTACAGAAATATTAATCGGACAAAATAAAATGATAGAGAAGTTACATATGTGTCAATGAAATACCCAAGTCTGAATGTCTGGAACAATGATGCTCTCCTCTCACGTCCCACCAGCAGCACTAGGTCCATCTAGTGCATGCTACCAGGAAAGCTCTGTGTTCCGGGTCAGACTGGTGCGGTGGATGTGCATGTGTGGGTTCCTCTAGGTTCTGCTTCAGATCCTGCTGGTTGGTCGGCAGCAGTAAGCACAGCTTCTGAGACTGTCCCGATCGGCACTGCCTCGACGGCCGTCCCCACTCGGGGAACCTAAACATTAAAGTTTATGTGAAAATGAACAGCAACAGGATCTTAGAAATATAAGTAATATTTAAGAAATATATAAAATATTAGTTCAGATCTATTAACATATGTACTGACATATCGCTTGAGACTGTTATAAAAATTATAATTCAACTTTTTTTTTTTTGTACTAATTATGCACAATGCACATTTCATAATATTAAGCCTTAATGCCACTATTGAGGAGTATTGTATGATCTTTGAATAATATTGGTCTTTAAATGCAATATATTTAAAGTGTACCTAAAGTATCCTTGCAATGGTTCCACTTTAGCACAATCAAATATACTTCAGAATATCTTTAGTTGGACTTTAGTATAGTATACTAAAATGTTTAGTATACTAAAAGTACAATTGCAGCGTATTTTTATTACGTACATAAATATGTTAATGCATTTGTAGTATACTTGGCATGAAATAAATGTATTTCAAATACATTTGAATAAAATATAAATTATTTATTTTTAAATAGGGTAGCAAAAAAACAAATAAGTTTAAGTACTAAAATGACTAAAACGAGAATTTAAATAAAATAAAGCTAAAAACAGAAATAAAAAAAATGGCAAAAGCACTTAAAACTTCTAAAAATAACAGCTAATTAAAAATATGAATAAATATTAATATATAAAAACACATGGCAAATCTTTTACTGTATATTAAAAGCTGTGAGGCACTCTGGGTTTTTTCTTCGTTTGTTTATATATATATATATTAATACAAGTACATAAATGTGTGTGTGTGTGTGTGTGTGTGTGTGTGTGTGTTTTGTGCCATATGAACATCAAAAGCATCAAAATTTTAATGGAACTATCAAAGAATTTAAAAATAAGAAACATGCATTAGACAAATTTTTACAATAAAACATTACAACATTACAATAAAAATATATAAGAAATTTCCATTCATATATTTAACAATAATTCTTTACAAAACGACTAAACGTTTTAAATAAATGAACAAACGAACAAACATTGAAATGATTGGAATCAGCCCGAAATCTAGACAGTCCAATAAAAAATGATTCAAACACATTACTTTACTCATTACCTTATCAATTATCTTAAAATTCAAGATTAGCTTTTAGGTTCATACATTTAATACATGCTGTGGTGCTTGCTATTTTTGTACAACAAAAAAAAAAAAAGTCAAATGAAATCCATCACAAACTCCTCATGCTCATGCTTTCTTAATGGGTTGTATGTACTAAAATTGGGACCTAATAATTCCTGCATTCTATTTAGGATGGATAGTATGTGACTTTCATTGGAGAATGTTCTCAGACATACTGTTCTCATCTTCCTCCTCGTCCTCATCCTCCTCCTGGTCGAGCTCTTTGGCAGGCAGGAGCAAGTGTCTGTGGTAGGGGCTGGTGGTGGTGATATGGCTCGGCCCCTCTAGGCTGGTGCTCAGCTGCAGTCTCCGCATGTGTCTGACCACTGCTGTCGCATTGAATGCTTGCTACGGGGGCAAGAGCAAGAAATAACGTGCCTCTAAAATATGTTTACAAGCATCTTTGGGAACATTTCTGAGATTAATGAGAAAATCCTATAACAGTTCTAGAATGTCTATCTCTCTCTCTCTCTCTCTCTCTATATATATATATATATCAGTGGCATGCGGTGGTGTTTTAAAATGAGGCAGTTATATATACTGTATATATGGGAAGTCGTGGCCTAATGGTTAGCGAGTCGGACTCGTAACCCAAAGGTTGTGGATTCGAGTCTCGTACCGGCAGGGATTGTAGGTGGGGGGAGTGAATGTACAGCGCTCTCTCCCACCTTCAATACC